TTTTCCTATTGAGGAAAAAGGGTACAAATTTCAGATTGTAAATATTAGATCCCTGGCTATACTGTTATTAAATCTTGATAAGAACTTCACAAGGGAGGAATTGTGTTTCTTTTCTTTACATGCATAGTCTATGAAATCAGAGCAAAGAGCTACTTGCTTAGTATGCTATAGCTATAACTGGCAAAGCCAAGTTGCAAACCTAGGTGAGATTCCAAAACCAGAATCTGTCTTCAATGTCAGATTACTGAAAGAGGTAAACATTAGACCTTATTAGACTGATCCCAATCTAAGTTGGGGCACGGTGAATTCCTTTTCCACCAGCGTACTCAGGATCACATTTTTTTTTTCTTTTAAGACTTAAGAGAAATAGGTTCCCTCTGAGTACTCCCACTTGAGAATGAGAATTGCTTCTCTGAATTATATAAGCCTACAGAACTAGCACCTACTTGCCAGGTGCCCTCCAGCACTAGATCCAGCCCAACTACTGCTTCAACCCACCAGGGCCTTCCTCTTATCTGTAGCACTAGTGTTTTTAGCGTGTGCAAGAGCTGCACAGGGAAGATCATGAGTGACTCTAGTTTTCAAGGCTCCTGGGAGAATGAAGATGAGGTTCAAATCACCATTGTCTTCCATTCTCCCCAGCCTCTGTAATTGTTCCCTGCCTGTTGGAACATTTAAGCATCATATATGTGTTAAAAACAGTTCATATTTGCAATGCAGACACAATATTGGAACTATAATACAATATGATTGCAAAGAATTACACTGAAGTGAGAGACAGAGAGGATACAGAATCTACTCCCATAATTTCCAAGACCCATGTGCAACAGAATCACTTGGTTTCTTTTCCTAAAAGACAGCTTCTGGAAATCTATTGCGGACTCATCCATCACTGTCTATAGAGGTGGGCCTGAGAAGGCCTTTGAACAAGTGTCTAAACTCATTTTCACCCATGCTAACATTTGAGAACCATTCCTCTGAGGTATATATGTTACTTTAGTGTTTCTTGTAGCCAAGGTAGAATTTCTAAATTGTTAAGAATCCACTCGGTAATCATAAATTGTCTTTTTCTGTCATAAATCATGCAATATTGTCCTCATTTCCATACTCAACAAAACACTAACCAACTAACCAACAAAAAAATTATTCTTTATAAATCTTACAAGTTAATAGTGAATTAAGGATATCTTACAAGTTAATAATGATTAAAGATATA